CTCCCTCTCTCTCTCATCTCTCTTTCTCATCTCTTTCTCCCTCTCTCCCTTCCTCTCTCTCTGTATATCGTTATACATAGATTGCATTTTGCCATCTATTAAATCAGCTCTGCTATTAAATAGTAAACTTTTGGAACTAAATTTGCAGCAAGTATTTGTGTTGAAAACCAAAACTAAAGGAATACCCTGCGGGAAGTACACTTATTTCCATGTATTACTAAGGTTGATGGATGAAGTTCTGTTCACAAGGAACCCCAAAATTGAGTAAGGTTCTGCTTCAGGGGTATCTACAGAAGGTTTTGCACATTAAAAAGGATGTGGTATTCATTTTGAGTTTTTTAACCCTCCTCCATAGATCTCTCCTTCTCTATTTACTTGTGGGACTACGTTGGTTAGTCACTAACTTCCTGTACTCAACTACCTCCCGGAGTTTGCACAAATTTATGTTCACTGTGTTGATGATACCATCTAGTCATCTAGTCATCCTTTGCTGTCCTCTTCTCCTCCGGCCTTCAATCTTTTCCAACATCAAGGTCTTCTCCAAGGAGTCCTCTCTTCTCATTTGGTGGCCAGTGGAGGACAGGTCTCCTGTTCTCCATTGTCTCCCAGATCTTGCCCATTGTGTTGATGACCCCATCTAACCATCTTATCTTCTGCCATCCCGCTTCTCCTTTGGCCTTCCATCTTTCTCAAGTTCAGGGTCTTCTCCAAGAAGTCCTCTCTCCTCATCGGGTGACCAAAGCATTTCAGCTTCAGAGCATCTGTCCTTCCAAAGGACTGATTTCTTTTAGGACTGAGACTGAAGGTACCAGTTCTTACAGAATGAGGTCCTCATCCAGGCTTCAGCACTGCACCTCACAACAGGGATGGAACAACACACCCACACTCATCCACAGACACATACATCACAAGGAGCGCATCGGAAAGCCAACAGGACATGCCTTCCACGTTTCGTTCTTCTCTTTGGGTTTTCTTTGAAGATGCCTGAAACCTGGGAACTTCTTGCAAGATGCAACAACAAAGCAGATACCGCATTGTCTCTGCCGTGGCTGGATGGGAAAGCAATAGGATCCCAAACTCTCCTTCCCCGCCAGCCCAGACATCAAATAAACAATGGTTTGGGTCAAAAGCTAGCCTCTTCCTTGCCTTTGCGTTACAGTGCAGCCCACTTCCTAGGAAGACAATGCAACCTCAGGAAGCCACTTTCCCCTTGAACTCTAAACAACCCTTTGTCAGTCGAGAGGAAGGACGGATGTACGTCCTCCGTTGATAATGCCGTGAAGGTTTGTGATGGGCTCACAACGGACGAGGTCCGGATGTAGCCGACTTGGCCTGCCAACGGTCAAGTTGAATGAAGTGTCCAGCTTAAGGGCTGTCTAGTTTCAGGGAAAGAAGAGCTAAGAGGTGATACAATAGGTGGGGATGAGTCTGCCTACTGAGAGGAGGTGGATCGACAGTTGCTTTCATGGTGTGGAGACAACAACTTGGTCCTCAACACCAATTAAGACCAAGGAGCTGATAGTGGACTATAGAAGGAACAGATCAGAAATCCAGCCCTTGCTTATCAGTGGAGACCAAGTGGAGCAAAGTGGCCAGTTTTAAGTTTCAGGGTGTTACCCTAAAAGAGGACCTGACCTGAGGGTGTCCACATTGCAGGCCTGGTCAAAAGGGCCCAGCAGAAATTATGCTACCTGAAGTTTCTCAGGAAGCAACAACTGGATGGAAAACTGCTGGTGACCTTCTACCGCTACACCATAGAGAGTATCTTAACTTACTACACACCTCTGTAGGGTTTGCCAATTGCACAGTGGCAGATAGGACAGCGCTCCAGAGGGTTAACATCATTGCCCAGAAGATCATGGATTGCCCACTGCCCTCTTTGGAAGAGCTTTATAGCTCCCGCTGCCTTGAGAAAGTTCAAGACATCCTCAAAGATCCATCTCATCCTGGGCACCCATTACCAAAATGATTACCTGTAAGTTATCCAGAATAATCCGCAGGGACTGCACCTGCCTCCGAACAGCTGCAGAAAACCGTTCGTATGTCGACGCATCGTATTCGCTCATCTGGATCTCTTTTAACCTGAAGCAAAACCACGTGGAAGTGAGTGAAAACGGGTTCTTTTATTATAGCTATCGAAGGCTAGACATTCAATATTAAGTAGGATACAAAGAGCCCTCACTTTACAACAGTTTGCCGAGTGACCGTTCACCGAAAACGGCATTGAAAAAGTCAATATTGGAGATGGATACAGACACGGGTGGAGCGAACGGTGGGAGAGGCTATTCCATTTAAGCCAGGAATTATTTCTCTTGGGAATAATGACAGAAGGGGATAGGAAAAGTATCGCCTGTTTAATGGTACATGTACGGACAGCAGGGAGAATGGTATGCGCACAATATTGGAAAGAATGAAATCATAGCACCCGGTGGGTGGTGGCTGTTGTGGGGAAAAGAGGAGGAGGAAGAAGGTGTGTTGGGAGATGTTTGCTGCTTTGGGTTGTCTGTAAAAAGAATGTAGGTGAGACACAGATGATAGAGACAGACAGGCAGGCAGACAAAGACATGAGTTAGACTGGTACATTTATAAAAACAATAATGGTGGGAGACAGATAGATGGTAGATAGGTGGGCAGACAGAAAGACCAACAGGTAGAAACATATGATGGATAGATACACGGTTATTGGCCTTGAGTTATTCGTAAAAACAATAAAGGTGCCATATAGATAGATGATAAATGGTAGATAGATAGAGAGACAGATGAGAGATAGATGGATAGAGATAGATAGATGACAGATAAATGGAAGGTAGATAGAGAGAGATGGAAGACAGATGACAGACAGACAGACAGAGAGAAGAGAGAGGTAGATAAAGAGAGAGAGATGGAAGATAGATGACAGATAAGAGATGATAGCAGACAGATAAATGGATAGACAGATATAAATAAGGAAGGAGTGAGAGAGGGAAGGAAGGAAGGATAAAAAAGATGGATGGAATGAAGGATAAAAAAGATGGAAGAGAAGGAAAGAGAAGAAGGAAGGAAGAGAAGGAAAGAGAAGGGAGGATGGAAGAGAAGGAAGGAAGAGAAGAAAAGAGAAGGAAGGAAGAGAAGGAAAGAGAAGAAAGGAAAGAGAAG